TAACCGGAAACATTCTCTTGGAAAATCACTTTTGTTCCCTTTAGAAAGTTCTTGCCAATCAGAAAAACCTCCTCTTCACCCTTCACTGAACAACTGTGCAGACTTTTCTTTAGGATCTCTGGGACTCCCGCTGGTTGAGCTGTAATTGAAAAAACACATCATTTGAAATCAAGAAAATATCAACACCCAAAACAACAAGTTTTTACCTAAAGGTTTATTAAGGAAAGAACAAAATAATTCCTGAGCTACTTCCTTTACTATATCACTCATAAGAAAACTTTGCAGTAGACAATAGCATCTATTATTTCCTAAATAAATTTAATGACTTCATAAAAGAAAATATCACACTCGGGTAAGCAATTCACTAATAAACTTTTCCCTTTTCTCCTGCATTAAGCAAATCTTCAAAACAAAACTTGCAGTGTTTGAGCTAAAGCTCAAGAAGTGCTCAGGAGAAAAGAAAGCTTGGTTCTGTAATTTCCTGGCATAGAGAGCAATAAACAAATGCACCAGCCCTTGGCTATGTCTGCAGAACACCTTCACATTTATCCCTAAGCTCATAAACCTTTTGCATTTTTAAATGAAGCGTATTTTGTTCTGCTATGCCAAAGGGAAGAGCAGTAATTCCCATATTACCTGGTTTTTTTCAGACAGACAGAGCTTTCTGGCCAGTGCAAGAACTAAGCCAGAGCTTTGATCAACGTGGTCTAGTGGGAGGTGTCCCTGCCCATGGCAGAGGGGGTTGGAACGAGATGATCTCTGAGACCCCTTCCAACACAAACCATCCTGTGACTCTGACCTTCTAGACCTATACACTTCAGCTAATATAAACCCTTGCAAGTCACATCTCTGTAGTTGGGGATTACAGTAGCAATTTATATCCTATAAACTAGCAAAGAGAACGTGGCTTACAGAGGCACATCCCTGGAGGCCTCTGCCTCAGCCAAGGATTCAGAGGATGGTTTATAGAACACACACGACAAATTATTTTTACTGCAAACTATATCTACTCTTCTTAAAGCATATATCAAATAAGACCATGTGTGTTAAATGAAAATGAGCACCAAAGAATTTAACTACAGATATACATTTTAAAATAATGTATTTTGAGTTTGTCACATATGTTATAAAATAATTCCAGTTCCCACTAAAGGTTTCTCAGCCACCTCTTCTAGTCACCATAAAATCCTAGTGGCATAAGTTTGTACTTGTGTTTGGCACTTACGTAGCCCACTTTTAGGGTTTAATAACAGCATCCTCTGGGCTCTCTACATAGAAGAACACCCATACTCTAACACCCCACGTTATTTAATGACCTTTCAGAAAGGATTTTTCTACAACTGTTGCAGCAGGTTCCTAGGCAACCGTTACACAACTACTAAATATGCTCAAAGCCCATGAACTTCTGAAAAGAGTAACTGGATTTACATTTGCTAACAAGTTAACAAAGCCTATTTAAAACACAGACCTTGTCTTCCTTGCATCGACTTAATATCTTTCCTATGGCTTCAGGAACACTACTGCAACTTTGACAACAATATTAATCATAAAACAATACAAACAGGCTCTGATGAGTGAAAGTGTAAACCTTATTATGAGAAGGTACAGTACACATCTGTAATAAGATGTAGCAAATGCAACAGATCATTTATATAAATAAATAACTTAGGAAACCATAAAATTTTATGCCGAATTGATTAGACAGTACATATGTACCAGGACTATTGGTTGGCAAAGATCTCCTGCAAGCCACCATAGCTGCAGAGCAAGTTAAACGACAGCCAAAGCACAGAATCCTGGAAAGCAAGCCTGGAAAGAGACCCAGGAATTCCCCCCTCAACCTCCACATCATTTTCAGTTTTACCTACAGCATTCCCCAAAGACATGAGTCTAACCAGAGTATTTTGGTTCTTTGTTTCAGTCATCCAAGCAACGGAGATGCTATAAAATTCCGGGGCAATCTTTTCTTGGCCAGAGGAAGATTGTCTTATCCACTGACCAAAATCCAGCTTGCTAAAAACTAAACCAACGTACTCCTTACTGTACTGGTTTTAGAATTTTATTTATGGAAGGATAACTTCTATTTCCTTCTGATGTCCCTTAGCATGTCATCACCCTCATATATTCTGCTTTTTACTCACTGTCCATATCTCAAAATGGAGCTACTAACATTACAGGTATAAATGGGGGACACATTCGACAAACAGAGAATGAAGATTACAAGGAACCCTCATAAACCAGAACTGGACTGGCCTTACCAACAAGCTAAACAGGGAGTGCATCAAATGCAGCTTTTTCAGCTAAACAGCCCATTTTAAAATTGGTCTCTGAAACATCTCGGACTCTCAACTTCCACTTACAACAGCAAATTGGGGATTGTTATGCATTGAAGAAAACACCAGATGATTTCCATTCCCATTTCTGCAATGATTTAAATAAATTTATCTTTAACCAAGAAAATGTATAAAGAAACAGCTTTTGAAGATTTTACAGAAAATCTTTTTTTCTTAAATCCAAAACTGACTGTCAGATACGACAATGCCACACTGACTGGAGTGGAGCTATGGAGATAACCCTATTTCTAGCAAATGCACTTATACTTTCCAACAACATAAATGCGTAAATCTGAGAACTGCACCAGTCTAAAAACCTGGGAAAGATGTAGAAAAAAAAGTGGTAAGAGGAGGAAAAATGAAAATGGGAACACCTCAAGCTGACCTTTCTGGACCCCAGACCTCAGACTATTGCCTAAAGCACAGGCAATGGCTGAAGAAAGAAGAGTCCTCCCCTGCTTCAGCAACGTCTTTGCTATCAGCCTTCCCAGGGTTTCCACAGGGTTCTTGCTCTCCCTGAGTCTTGCAAAGGGATTCTCTTTGAATCTTTGGAGAGCAGAACAGGGGAAGGAGACGGGCTCGGTGCCACATCTGCTGCACAGCCTGCAGCACTGAACGGCTCCGTGGCATCTGATGTGGAAGCTCACATGGTTCTAATTATCTCCTCTTCCAATCTGTTCTCTTGCTGGCAACAGAGCTGCACTTTCTGATGAGCTGAATAGGAGCCCTGACACAATAGGTACTGACAGTAGTAACTTTTTATACAATGGGAAGAGCACAACACAGACGTTCAGGACCTTGCATAATCACACCATGTACCATGGATGGAGAAAAAGCTCTCCCATCTTCTTGTCCATTAAGAAACCTGCAATCTTATTTCAACAGTTGCATTAAACCCATTCCCCTATCTTTTCTCTTCACCAGACAAACAGAATTCCTGGCAACTGGAAGTCACTGCAGACTCGATAGGCACAGGCAGCCCTTGAGGTACTGCAGCCTCCCCACTCACATTTTCCCTGTTGTTTGGGAACCCAACCAGCCAGTGTGGCCATCTGTGTGCAGGGCTAAACACAGCAGTTTAACAAACAGCTACAAAGCATGTCACTCCTGCACTGAACCAGAACTGATTCAGCCTCTGGCCCAGCAAACCAGCACAACTGCAGAGAGCCATGTGTACTAACTTACTATGAGTCCTTCCATCACTGAAAGCTGACAGATGAACGTGAAAATACAGGAGACATTAAAACCTGCACCAAAATAGTCACGTAAGTTCAAAGCAACCATGACAAAAATTCTGACCTTTTAAAAGGAAAAAAAAAAATTCAATAAAAATGACAACTACTTTTAAATACTGGCCAGTCATTTCGCTAACACACTATGCCAAATAAAATTCCATCCATAGCCATTCTGAAATAATCACAGATTAACACTGAATTTTTCTTTATTCCCCAATGCATTTTATGGCAGTGACCTTAAAATCCTCCAACACCAACCTTTTATTTTGATACTTACTGCACAAAATTGGGGAAGAAGGTGTCTGAAGAGTCAAAGTCGAGCCATCCTTGCGGGTGATGTTAACACGGAACACCAGCCTGGCACGTGTGCTTTTCTTCTTGGAGCCAGCAATCCCTATCCTAGCTTCCACATCAGCGTTTCTCAGCTTCAGTATTCCCACACAATCAACCCTAAAATCACAAAAGAGTGGAAAATTTAATAGAGTTCAGTAAGTTCAGCCTCTTTAATAATCTCTTGAGTAGTTACAGAAGCCACAAAGTCAACACTCTTGAAGTAATTACTGAAATATTATTAGATTTTTTTTTTTATTATTATTTACAAGAAATCTCTGTATGACCTTTCTAAGTATATATCCCAGTTTTCAGTTCAACCTACATAATTTGGCTGATGAATCACGGGAGGAATATGAAAGTAGCATGAATGAAACTCAAAATGTAACATAACCAAGTAATTCTGGTAAGCATTTAATTTATATTCACAGATCTTTATTCTTCTGCTCCCGGGGCAGACCCAGGTTTGTCAGATTATTACTACAAAATATTCTGCATTCACTTAAAGCAGCAGAAAACTTACTGTAGCCATGTTCTCTTTTATGCTCAGTGGAAGTTGGAAGTGATAGCTATGTCATATCATAACTGTGGTCCTAGGGGAAACACATCCAGGGCCAGGGAGAGAGTGCTGACTTCCAGAAAGATACGTGAGATGCTTCTGAGGAAACAGCCGAGGCAAAACCTTCCTAGATCATTCCAAATTCATCTCTCCAGTGTCTCTAGACTTACATGGTCTTACATTAACACTTGAGGACAATTACAGAATTACTTTCTAGGAGACAGTTTCTAAAGTTATCACGGGAATATATTTTATATGAAAAAATCAAATTAAGTCCATAGCAAACTATTATCCTGCTTAGGTGGACACTGCAAACTGAAGAAACATTTCCTGACTTGAAACAAGACAAGCTTCTAAGTGAAGAGTAGTAGCTTTCAACCACATACCTATTAGGAAAAAAAATTATGTTCTACTGAAAAGAATGCTTTGAATGAAGATCACTTCCTTCTATTATTCAGACACATGTGCAAAGCTTATTAGGGCATCTAGTTTCTTGTGAGATGCAAACTACAGAGGTAGAGGAGGCCATTGGCTCCAAAACCTGCTGCAGCAAACTGTGCCCAAACTGCTGCCCAGGCTGGCCTAGGCCACCTCCGTGAGGACAGCAGAGCAGGAGGCTGCTGTGGCCAAGGGCTGCCTGCCGGAAGGGACAGAAATGGAGCAAGTGAAGCAGGAGCAGAGAAAGGCCAGAGTTTAGCCCCACTATCACAAGTCCCAGCCTTCCGGCCCTACGGGGATCTGAAGATCCAAATATTCTCCTTCCCTCTTCTATCAGCAATTCTACACTTGTTAAAAGACAGAAGTACCAGCAGAGCCAGTGATCAGTTATGGTTCACAAAATGCTTGAATATGGACATTACTGAAGAAAGATAACATGAAACTAGTGAAAAAAAAAGGTAATTTATAAAGTTTTAAGAAAGACCAAATTAAGCTTTAAGTATAATAAAAACAAAATTTAAATGTTCTTCCCATACACACAGCTTCAGTATGTGCCTGGTGTGGGCCAAGATGGTCAGACTTAATCACCCAACCGAGGAAGAAATCATTCTCAAAAAACAATCTAATAAATGGAAACATTTTCAAAAGAAAAGCTACTCACGCAAGCGTCATGTTGTTGCTGGGCTCCAGCCCGACCTCAATAACAGTGGTCCCCTCGATATCCACCTCCTTGCAAGGCGTGGTGTTCCTCCCAGTGACTCTGCAGGCCTGGTAGAACCCATGGGGCTTCACCCGCCCGGAGTCGTTCCCCACGAAGACCTGCAGCACCACGGGCTCGTTGTGTCCCTCCAGCTGAAACACGGCAACACAGGTCAGACACCTCAACTCCCAGCAACACCACTTAATTAACACAGCACGCACCTTATCCAGCCACATTTGAACTGAATCTGCTTCCAGTGCTGCTGGAAACTATCCTAAGGGAAGCAGCAATAAAACATTTCATCTAGTTTACAAACAAAACACTAATATTTTTAATTTTTTTTCAGTTGTACTTCTGTTAAGAGATAAGTCAATCACTGGATACACAGGTGAAATGATTTTTTAATTATTATTATTACTAATATTTTATTTTTAAACCAGCTTGAATCCTATCTGTCTTCACATGGAATTATCCCAACTCCAACTTCTAGGTCTCTTCTGACCTTTCCCCATCTCTTCCCAGAATCCTTGTCCCCATCAGCATCTACATCCACCAGACAGCTGAGGACAAGAACATTTGCTGTGGCTGGTTCCAAAGTGCAGGAAAACGTGCTGGTCAGTATGCACATGGCAATCCATCCACCAGCATCTACACTGCTCAGAACCCACCTTCATATGCCAGCCACACCTCGGAATCTTTGTGAAACCAGATGAAAATTGCCCAACACTTGCAAAACCACTGGATGAGTCAGAACAGGATGCGGGGGAAAGCAGTGGGAGGGATGGTGTGAATGATTGCCTGGTCTAACCATGCAAACCTAGTTTTCCTTCAGACACCAAAATAAAAAATGGCAGCTTGACATCTCCTACTTAAAGTTTATCAACTGCATTAGGATTCACTGAGAGACTGAATACATAAAAGTCATACATGTCACAATGATTTAGCAGTCCTCCTGTAATCTGGTGTGCAAGCTAGGCTTACTCCAGAACATGGCAGTGAGAAACGCATTTGTTTTTGTAACACTGACATCCTACCATGGAAAGGTTTGTCTCTTTTTAACATTTTTGGTTTTTATTAGCAGAATCTCACTACAGTGCTATATAATAAAAAACACTCTGATGCAGAAGAAGCCTTGAAGTAAACCTGGACACTGAATTATGAAGTAATGTCCCTTATTCTTTTTAGGTAGCAAAGAAAAATACTCTGAATAAAAGAAACACTAGATCGCTGCCAAATTCCCAGGCCAGAGAAGGAAATTCTTTGCCACAGCACTCTAGGAGGAGATAAAACAAGCATTGTTAATGTTTTCATTAAGCCACAATAGTTGCTAGAGGATTTCTGGGGGACAACGTTATGTTTCGTCCTAGGCCTGGAAGCCCAGTCAAAACTCGCAGAAAGCAGCTCCATGTTTACTAGCAAGGAGATGCAAACAAGAACAGAGTCCTCCAGAGGACCTCTTGGGGGATCAGTCCTTGATACGCATGGGAAATTTAGTTCTGTGGTTCATAGCAAGTTTCAAAAAAAGAAAAGAAAACCAAAAATCAGCTAAAACTGCTAAAACGCTCCCCATGCCCAAAAGGAGCAACTGGCTTACGGCAGGTCGGTGCGTTAGGGCTGCCACTGATGGGCAAAGCCCAAAGATTTCTGGAGGTGGCCCAGCACAGGCTCCCCCTTGTGAACCACAGGCTAACAGGTACAGTTCATATCAAAGAGCTCAAAAGCCAAGAAAGCATAAACAAACAGGAGACCAGGCAAACAGCTCACGAGAGGACTTCATCTCACCAGGTGCTCAAAAGGAAGTGGGGACTAAAGGGTCCTCTGATAGTCTACCACTGAATCTCTTCTACGTGGAAAGCTGAATGAATGGTCTTTGTGTCATGTCACCAAAGTCTCCTTGACTAGAGGGAGCCTCACCACAGCTAACCAGAGCTGCTTTTCTCCTCTGGTGTTGTTCTTCAAAGAAGATATGAAAGGTGTGCAAGAGCACCTCTCACCACCTGGATGGAACTGCTCCAGCTCTGCAGGACTGTGAGAAGGAACGGATGACAACCTGCTACCCACGGCTGGAGCACCTCCACTGACACTCTGCAGTCAGGAGAACAGTTCCTTCTGCCAGACAAATCACTTCACTAGTTTGTTTGTACGATTTTAGTGTTGTTTCTTGCAGTTGTAACCCATGGAGTAACATGGTTTTCTTTGAAGGGCCACAGAACCTGCCTTTCCTTGGTCTGCTTCAGAACAGTTGCCTGTCACAGGTGCTGCCAGAGAAGAGCAAGCACCCGATCTCTACAGAACCTGCAAGATTTTTACACTATTCTTCCCCATCTTTAAACCCCCTCACAGAAACCCCAAACCAAACCAAACTACTTCTTGTCCTTCACACATTTTTTTTCCACTAGGTCAGATTTCCTGAAGCTCCACTGACTCACTTTGTCTGTCCAGCCCTGGCAGACGTTTATACGCAGGCTATGAACCAGTTTCTCTACTGGTAAAGCAAGCTGGAACTTCCAGGAATCCAGTTACACAAGACTCTTCCAAAGAGAATTTTCACTGATGGGTGCTAAAGGGTAACTGGGAAAGGAATTAAAGGGAACTTCAGAGGAACAAAGGCCCATTAACAAAATTCACATAAATGAGCACTAAATCACCATAGCAACAGGACTATATGAATGGATTCTTTTCTTATGAACCTTCACTGGATTTTACGTTACTCAGGAGGACTGAGTGAAGCATGGCTGGAGATGTTTCTAACACTGTCAAACAAGACTTTACAGATAAATATTCTGTACTCTCTCAGCAATAGTCAGCACAAATTTTAAGGGCTGTATCATAAAGAAAGATTTCTTCGTGGACCTGGTAAATTAGTTTGGATTGAGAACTGCTCTGCTGCTTTCTCAAAGTGCTGTAACTAAGAAAAAAGATGAAAGAAATGTCTTTTATCTTTCTTATTTGTATAACAAATATAGTTGTCTACTAGCTCGACCTGCTGGCCACACTCCTCCCAGCATAACCAGGCTGCTTTTTGCCTTGTGTCCAGTGAGTGGGCAGTGCTGGCCTGCACTCAGTTCCATGTCCACTCTGACATCCACACTGCAGCCACTGCCCGTTTTGTGATGGTGTTTGCCATCAGTCTGTCTGTAAGTTACGTACAGCAGCACTCCTGGTGAGCCCCTCTGCCACCTGCACCAGGAAACCCTCACAAGCACAGTCCTAAACTTCCTCAACTGCTCGCACCAGGCTCTGCAGCCACCCTTACGGGTGGACAGATGGCTGAAACCTGTCATGAGGAATGAGTTCTGTGAGCAGGAGACTCCCCAGATCATCATCTATTATCTTCTCAGGCAGTTGGTAACAGACACCAAAACACTATCCCTGAGCTCCCTCCCTCCTCTGATCTCAACAGGCCAGTCTCCAGTTTCATGCTGGAGGTCTGTGTGGTCAGGGAGCTCCTTATGCCATGATATCCTCTCTTCTTCCTCAACAGCTGCTGCATGTGCACGGCTGCATCCCAGCCACGCACGCTGCCCCACGTGATCCCAGCCAAGTCACAGCCCTGTGACTACACAAGGCAAGAAACAAAACTATGAATTCTCACTCCCCACGCATCAGTGTGCAGTCACTGGAGAACAGCCTCTGAACGTTCTCCCTTTTGAGAAGGAATGTGAAAGACCTCTTTGTAGCCTTCCTCCTCATGTTTCCCCCTCCTTTTGTAGTTCCTCCTTTCCTTCTGGGCTTTGGTCCCCATCCTCTGACCAGCTTACAACAAAGCCCTTCTCACCAGGCTGGCAAGCCTGATCACCAACAGTTTTCCCCCTTTAAGTAAGGTGAATTACATCAGTTCTCCTTTTCTCCCCTCCAAACACAGCAAGATGAACAATGAACCTAAAAGCTTGCTGGAGAAACCAGCTCCAGAGCTAGGCCCTGGATTCCTGGCTGCATCTGCTCAATCCAGACCCTTCCTCTTTATTGGAAGGGTTGAGGACACTGTTAGTCCTGTGTGCTGCTCATCCCCGCCTCCAAGCAAGGGATCCTCAACACCTAAACCTTAAGGCATCCCAAGTCCATAAATGGAACAGGCTGGCTTTGTTCAGATGATTCAGATACTTCTTTAAAAAAAAAAAGCCAACCTCCCCTCAAGTCTTATTTTTTTGAATGAAGCCTAGTTTTATGTCATTACCAGTAAGGCACGATGACCCACTGTCATCAGCAATCAGAGTTACAGCACCTCACTATCTGAGTTTTGCATGCCTCAAGTGCCTATTTGCACAGCTCATGTAATCACAGTCTAACAGGACATGCAGCATCACTGCACTGGCACAAACCTCCCTTCCTTCCTCCCTGTAACTTTGTGCTGCAAATAAAACCCGTTACCTGCAAGAAGAAACTCGTTACCTGCAGTACAGCCTCTGCAAGAGAGATGCTGCAAAGTCTCTCCCTTCCTCTAAAAACAGAGATTTTGAAGTGCACCAGTTCCCACCCTACCAAAGCTTCCCCCTGGGAAGGAGTCCTCGTGCCAGCTGCCTACCTTCACGGTGGGGAAGCCCTGCTGGGTGCGGTCCTTCACCGAGCCGCGGCTGCCCTCGGTCAGGTACCGGGCCCTGTGCTGGGTCTCAGGCTGCAGCACGATCTTCAGCTCCTTCCCCTCACTCTTAGTCGGGTACTGACCACACAACATTGGGGTCTTCTTCCCTCCAGCTCCCTTCTGGTTCTCTGATGCTCTGAGAAGTCAAAGCAGACCATTAGAAAGACGTTACAGGCAGCTCCCCAATAAAGACAAATTAAATCACAGAAAAGCTAGAAAGATAAAGAGTGTGTATTAACAGGTAGAAGGTTGAGAGGTGAGAGCAAACTTTGGAATTCTCTTTCTGACAGAGGAGACCTGCAGGATGAAGAGGAACGATGCTTCCCTGCCTCCTCCATCCAGTGCAATCAGGAACTGCTTTTCAGAGAGTAAACATAAAGGAAGGGGAAAGCAATTAGCATTAAACTGTTAACAAACAGAAGAAGGCTCATAACCTGCTTTTTCACAGCACGATACAGTCCAGTATTATCTGCACAAGCCGTTTTGCTTCTGTAACAAATATATATATGTCCACACACACACTGAATGGATTTAAGGTTAAATGATACTTCTTTAAAGAGGAAAACAGCCTCATGCCTGTCTCCACCTGAACTTGCATATCCATGCAAATACTAGTATCTGTCAAAACAGATTGATCCATTTATGCTAAAACCAAATTAGTTATTGTAAAAAGCTCTAACATAATCGCACCAATTTTAAATCTGCAGTGTATGCAAAAGGACTGTTTCTTTCCAGGTGGGTACTTGAAGATGTACTGCATCTTGTGTTCAGTTCCATAATTAAAACCTGAATGAAGAAGCCTTCCAAAGTATAATATCAGGTGATTGATTCTGTGTTCACATTAAAGCACAATGGAATATAACCCTTGATCTTACACAGAGCAGGTTTGTGTAAAGAACCTGACCTGAAGCCTAATAAACTCATTTAACACTAGCAATGTCAACACACTATGGCAAAGGGTACAGGCAGATAAAGGGCTCAATGAATTTATGCAAATGTAATATTCTATTTTACTACCAAAAAAAGCAGTTCTAATAGCTAATGCCTCTGAAGAAAGCAGTTTAAAAATCACAGATGTGAATTAAGAGACAAATCCTGTTTCAGTGTGCAATGTACAGCAGTAATTTATCCAGGATTTCTTCTTCTCAGGGAGAAGGGTGAAACACACACTTTTGCTTCAAAATCGTTTACTGGGAGTTTTGCCACTGTATGCGTTTTTCACTGACCTGAAGCTGGGCTAACCCATAGAGCTCTCTTCCAATTACCAGATGATTTATACTAGCAAACGTCAGCAGCACCTTCCCCAAAACTCCTACTGTGCAACGAACAGCACCAGGCCACACAGGACACAAACACTTCCAATTATTCCCCAGCCTAGCCCAGTCCTTCTCCTAGGGACTGGCCCTCTCCTGCCCCAGGGAACGTTCTAGACCCTGCCTCCCAATTCCACCACATCTCACACCCCTCAAAGGCCCATTTATCATGCTCTTATTTCTGCTAAGCCTTCCAAAACCTTTTCATATATGTACCAAAGGGTTAAAAAGGATGCTGCCTGTGCCTGCTGTGAGTTTCGTTCCTGTTTTTCTGTTTGTGAATCTTACCCAGGCAGCAGGGACTGCCTGCCCAGCTGAGGTGGGTGGATGCCCAGCATGTGTCCCTGCCCTGCCCACTCACCTGCGACCCGGGCACAGCAGAGGCCAGGTCTGGATGAGGGGCTGGTGCACAAGAACTGTGAGGGCACCCTGCTTCTGCCAAGCAGTCCCAATTACCCTGCCACGGCCTAGTCAAGCAGGTTGTTCAACAAAAATAAAAACACTACATAAAAACATACCTTCTTTTAGGAAAAGGGACAAAATTCTTCCTCAACGTAGCATTTACAAAACCTGTGCCACACTAAATAAGCTGTAATTAACACCACCATGCTCTTTGCTTCTGTTCAGGCCAAGCAAAAACACTGGTCACACTCAAGCTCGTTAGAGAATCGCTTTTCTCTGTTCTTCCTGTCAGGACGTTCCTCCACAGACTAGTAATTAAAAGGAATACATTTACGAAGTTTCAGTGAGTATCTTCTCTTTTTCTCACTCAGAATTTTAAACCACGCAGCTCCAGTTTCTGAGCTTCCTCCCAGGAAGCAGAGGAGGAACGCAGGGCAGGCTGGGCTGCTGGAGCCCCCTGGCACGGTGCCCAGCGCCGTCCCAGGACCCGGGGCAGGCTGGGCACCACAACGGCACCGGGGAACGCCCCATGGGAGGCAGCACGGGGACTGCTCCCTCTGACCCACCACATCTGTAAAGTAGCATGGGAGACTGAGATATTGCTGAATTCTGAAGCGTTAGAGAGGCAGCCATCAGAAGCCAGTTCACTCTTAACACTCAAAATGTGACGTTTTAGCAGTGAACGCTTTGGCCTCTCCCACACAATTGTTTTTCCTGACTGTACTTTACTATTAAAACCCAAGTTACCTTAATTGTCAACATACTAATATTTTATATTCTCATATTTATGTGGAGATGCTGCCTAATCTCTCTTTTGGAAGTCTTCCCTCTAGAAGGGAAGTAAAAAAAAGTAATCATTACTTTCAACCAGATTAGCTGAACTTGAAAGGAATTGTCAAGCCTTCACCAGAATTTCTCAGTGGTCTTTCTTCTCAAATTATGAGGCTATATCATTTATGTGTCCTTTTAGTTCATTTATAATACTAATATTCATGCACATACAAACAGCAAAATATTCCATACAAGCATGTTTATTCATTAGCTGAACTGTTACCAAAGAGTGACTCCTTAAAGCTAGCACTCCTTTTCTAAAAAAAAAAAAAAAAAACCCACAACACCTAAGTGGCAAACCTCACAACTATTAGAGCAGATTTCCCAAGTTAAGGTTTGCCTGGCCCTGCACTGGCATGGGGGCTGCTCCCAGTGGAGACTTGAGAGGGAAAGTGAGACCCAGCCTGTCAGAAACCTGAGACTGCCCTAAATCACCATCAATTCAGCCCTTTCTAAAAAGGCTTTCACAAATTCCAGCAGTTTCCACAGGAATATATTCTTCCTAGCTCTTTAAGACAACTGACTAGAAGCCTCTTTTGAGGCAAATGCTCTTTCCACTCCACAAATTAACAAGGGCGCTTTCCTTGCTCTTTTTTCAAAGCCGAAAGTAAATGAACTCCCTTGGCTGAACTCCACCAGGCTGGGAAGTTAAAATAAAAGTCACTACTGCGACCTAGATTTGTAACGCTCAATCTCCATATTCCAACTGCAAAATTAAAATTTTCTAATATCTTGGCCATTTCTTTTCCCAGAGCTTTTATTTAAAAGGCCAATTCTGTTACATAAGAGTTTTGCTGCAGTTCAATCCAGCCCATTTAGCACACAGTGTTTTAGGGAATGTTGCAGTTTTGTGATAAATTAGACTGAGATTGTTCCAGAGTTTAGTATAGCTCCCTTTTCCTGAGATCCAGAGATCACATTTACAGTCACACAGCTCTTGCCTTTTGATAAAGTTTCTTCCCTCTGTACAGGAGACCTGACGTCCCTCGTGCTTTGTGGAGGCATCTCCCGAGCTCCGAGCACCTGTTTTGCATATGCTAATTTCCTTCTTTGGCTCTACCACAAACTAACAATTTTCCTTTAGTATGAATTTCAGCAGGTGAAATCGAGAGATGGGGACAACTGCAGCCACCTCAGCTGTCGTTGAAGTGGACAGGGGCAGGAACAGGCGGCAGAGCCAAGGCTCCCATTGCCAGCCTCAGGCTCCCAGTGCCATTCCCCTCGGCTCTTCCCAGTGCAGTCCCCAGGCCAGCATGCTCTGGAGAATTCCTCAGAATCACCTTCTCACACTGAAATTTTAAGTATGGAACTGCAATGACCCTGGGAATACAGACCCCAGGCTCTTTCCCCTTTGGAATACGAGAAGTTCATAATCTTTCCCATCACTCAAATTTTAATATTCACCATTACTGTGATGAACATTAGAACATACTGGAAGCGCATACTTAAAGGTAAAACTAAACAAAATACACTTCCTCTCCCCAAACAAAAAAAAAAGACCCAAATCTATCCACATGACCATCTTGAAAGTATTAAAGAAGCCACAAGCAGAAAAAATGAATTTTTTTAAAAAAGTATCAATAGACTATTGTAAACTGATGGAGTTTTTCTTCTTGAAGCAACTACTGAGATGCGTTTAGTGAAGAGTGTGAAGTGGGAGAGATGAGAGACCACCACCCAGGCGTGCCCACACACAGACACTCGCATGCACACGACCCAGAAGCACAGAGAGAAACAGGATTAGAGATTTATTTCTGAAAAAATCAAATACAGAAGTGAATTCACAAGGAAAAACAAAATCACCGGATCATCTTAACATTTCTTATAAAAAAGTAAAGCATGTGTTAATTTGAATGATGAGGAATCCCAAGAAGCCATTATCTGCTACTCCCATCACTCGCTCTATCCGATAGAGACAAACAAAAGCAGGTGAAGTCTACAGACTGAAATCCTCACATAAAAACCTGCAAAAAAATTAAGATTTAGGGTGCGTCCAATCCACTCTTGCCTTTCTTTTTAAACTCAATAACATTTTCACTGCCTTTTTGTAAATGAAATTGTGCCATCTTTTAGGAATTTCACTTAAACAAGAACACAGATGAGCTCATCAGTGCGGCGTCCAATTGTTGCAGGCATGTTTAGCTTTATCTTCTAAATAAAGATTAACAAGTCTAATGAGAGTATATCAAGGGCTAGGACGCAAAAGGGAGCAGCAGAGAGGGGAAGGGATTTATGTGAGAACCTGAGCAGAACACTTGATGGGGCATGGGGGGAGTTTTATTAGTCTGGTTTTACATATGGCCATAGAATTTTTTTAAAAAAAAAAAAAAAAAAAAAAAAAAGCAGATACCAACCCATTTCCTGCTTTTGAGTTGCCTTTGCTGTCCGTGCTGAGCTGATAAAGGACATAGTGAGGCGCTTTGGCACTGTCGGCATCAAATATATCCATGTTGGACTCTTCACAATCTCGACGTTTGATCCCTGGCCTCTGCTTTGGGTTTCGTTTGCGTGATTTACGTGGCACCTCAGTGTTATCATTGTAGGAACTGGTACTCATGTTACTGAAGTTGGAGGGTGAATCCTCCATCCACATACTGCAGCTCTGCTCTGACTCCAATCCACAGCCCTCATCCTGGCAGGACATCCGACTGTTGTCCAGCAAGTCCTCGGGTGGTGGCGAGATGTACAGGACTGTGTGTCTCTTCGGCGTTGACTGCTGCTGCTGGGCTGCGTTACTGGTTAACTGCTTGTCACTTACCCCTCGGGTACTTACCCCCACGGCTGAGGAGCAGCTCTCCACTTGCATAGCCTTGCTGTCGGTGACTGAGGTAGAGTAAATGGTAGGACTGGAAGAGGTGGTAAAGGAGCTGCAAGCACCGCCCATGGAGGAAGAGGAAGGAGCTGAAGAAGCATCTGCGGTGTATAATTCACAAGTAAATACAAGATCCGTGGTTCTGTGTGTGCTGGCTATAGCAGTCCCATTGAAATAAAGTGATTTATGAACAGATTGCTTTCCCCCAACAAATATTTGGAATTTGGTAAGTTTTAGAATGTAAATGCTTAAGGCAGTAGAGCCTAGCCAGTAAAGAACTTTGGAAATGTCCAAATGAGACTTAATATGATCCACTGTAATCAACTTTTTTAAAACTTAATGTTAATGCATAAAAATGGCTGCAAGTAAACAGAGCTTTCATTGCCTCCGCTGGACTAATTATTTCTGTAGAAGCCATTTCATCTACAGTAATGGAAGCCCCAAATGCAAAATGCTTATAATCCACATTCAATGCCAATTAAGCCATTTACTGTTGGAAATTTTCATTTTTGAAAAGGACGGGACTGTGCTTAGCCACAAAATATTAAAATAAGTTTCTAACCTATGAAGCAGAGAACTACAGGTCATTTTTAATGCAGACACTCCCTGCTTCAGAGGCAAATCCTGGAATAAAAATATGAGAAAATAAATGAGAAAAAGAGCTGCTGATTATTCCATCATAAATGAGAAATAAAATATAAAATCAACTGAGTTGGTAGGCAAAATGGAACTGGTATCAGTCTCTATGACGTAGCTGTTTATTTTGAAGGTTCAAAACAGGGGTGAAATCTCTGTATCGGTGACACGCTGACACAAGGGGACTGGAAATTTCTGTAATTTGACTCTTTTGGTCACCAACACTGATTTCTCTCAGGCTTTATTAGCAGAGTCCCTTACGTGTACAGAGACAGCTTGGGACAGACCTCTGAAAAATTCATACTAAGCAGGATATTTAAATAACATGCCTGTGACTTCTCCAGAGGTCACACAGATCAATCTGGTTTAGAACCACAGGAGGACAGCTAAACGATTAAAAGAAAGCCCTGATGATTTCTGGAGAAGATCATCAGCATTTCCAACGAAGAACATTAATAGTCAAGCCAGCTGAAACCGTAGGCTACGACCTTTCAGAGGAAGCAGGATGGACAAACATCTGTATTTAAAACAGCTACAGCTCACTGCAGAATAACTAACTGAACTTTATATTCAGGTTTAAGCTTCCTAGCGAGGAGATGCTACTTGCTGTATTTCTGCACTGCTGGCCACACCTTTCACAAGAAACCAGAACGACAGAAATAATCTGATTTTGGAAACAAATTGTATAATTATTTGCATATGTTATGTACAATCTGTTCATTCCACTAGTTACTGGTGTTGTAGAGGTAGTACCTATCATTAAGAGGAACATATTTTCCTTTTTGCTGTATCAGATTTTTGTAAAATCCAAAGCATTATAGTAATCTCTCAAGTGTAAAATGTTTAGAGATAGTTGAACTATTCTATCCAGTTTAAGCTATTTAGTAGTACCAGAATAAAGTGCATTCAGCCACGAGACACATATAAGAGGAAAACTCAGCAAACCTTCCTATAAACCAGTCAACCTGTCGTTACCAGAGAGTATCACTTGACTAATGATGAAGAATTTTTTAAACCATTTACTGTTTCTCATGGCTTTTCTTCACTAAATTTATTTAAAAGTAAATCTACATTACTTCAGATTGTAAAATTCAGTGGCTGTTACAGTTTTATCAATGAACTATTCTGCTTTTATCTCCATAAGAGGTCCCTTCCCCAAACCTCCCAGTGAACCAGGAGCAGATGAATGATACCAGTTCCATTTTCCAGTTTGTTCTTTGGCAAATATAGTGGCTGAAGTTGGAGAATTCAGTCACTTTGAACTGCATTCCAATTTAAAGGCAAATTTATCCTTTCTATATCATGCATTAATGCAATGCTTCTTTCAAAAACATTTACAGGATTGGCAAGAACTATTAAATCTAGATATTAATTTCAGTGACAGTATTTAGGAGCTGATTTGCAGCCACTTTGAGTTGAGAAGGATCATTGCTCTTTGGGATGTTCACTCAGTTTTGTTCCGATCGAATTCGTTCCCATTCATCGTTTACACACCCAAGCAGGAGATGGACCCCACGGAGCAGTGGTGCTGCCTCTGCTTGGGTCACTCCACAGCAGAACTGCCCCCAGTCAAAATTCCTTCTCCTTTTAACGGGTGAAACTCATGCCCAGTGCATGGCAGTGTCCCCACCCCTCGTGTCTGCCTGCGTGTGACAAAGGCGTTGACAAATCAGTAATTATCTGCATTGAACCAGGCAGCAAGGCTCTGGAGCTGAAGACTTTCCTTCAGTAGATTAATATCACAGGTTTGTCTTTTTGCAGCAAATATTGGGAATACTTTAGAAAGGTCTTTTAGAAGGCCTCTAAGCACCAGTGCAAGTGACAATGCATCCACGGGTCTGTGCTGGAACAGGTACATCAAACGCTGACCGTACCCTGCTTATCAAATGGTTCAATGCATATCCTGCCCAGAAATGCAACAATTGTCCTTTTCCCTCACCTTCCTAGGGGAAAAAATAATAAATCAATCACTAAACAAAATATTGTTCTGTATACAACTAACAGAGCTGGCAATAGTATCATCATTTTAGGGTGCAGGACTTTGCAGTATTTCAGTTGCTATCATTGCTGCTATGCAAAACCATTTCTCCTCCATTTTCTTTTCTAGGAGTTAAAAAGCATGTAGGTGCATGAATATGTGTATGTGGCTTTTCTTTATACATTTAAAAAAGAAATACTGTTTGTTATAAATCAGTTATACTCTCCTCCATTTACCAGAGACATCCCTGTGTAACAACAAGGGTATTGTGCAACAATTGTGTATCAAAACAATATAAAGCTAGATGGTAAAGGCAAAAAACTCTCTCTCGTGCCTTACACCTTCTCCAACAAATGCCACTACCACCCGTGAACATGCCAGGGTTTTAGAGTGTGCATGGGCCAGTGGCTTCTCCAATTAAAAATCTGTATGACAGATATTACAGCCAATGAAATCAACTGGCTATGTTACAACAAATATGCAAATTTAAAATCTAGTTTTGGTGATAAATCAGTAATTGATTCAGTATCATTTTAAGCTGTGCAAATACTAAGAAAGAGTGAACTCTGTTTTCCCAGAGCCTGCAGGCCTCTAGCCAACTCATCTTCTTCTGAACGAATAAAGGAATGGGATCAGACAAGTCAGAATTCACAAAGTTACTCTCACGAATAAACTTTGGATGTCTTATGTGGCTCCCATTTTGTTTTAACAAGTTATTCTAAAGCCAGCAACAACACATGTGTACCTGATACCCAAAGGAGATCTCTTAGTTGAATATGCTGCATTTTGGGGAAGAAAAAAAAAAAGAGGCAGCTTATTCCCAGTAATTCAGACTTGACTGGTATTGCTTTAAAATGTGAGAGTGTTTTGCATTTCCTGGTTTTGAGGAAGTTTTCCTCAATATGCAGATAATAAGCTGTGGCCCGTGGGCACTGGGTGTGAGCATGTACCTGGGGCCTGGGCTGTCACCTGGGAGTGGACACACACGCCTGCCCCAGTCCAAGCATTTCTTTCATTTGAGGTTACTTTTTTTTAGACACATAGTAATGGGAAGTGCTACAGGTGGCTCTTTCACTTGTAATTTAACAGTGCTTGCAATGACAAACAGTTTGAATGGGTCTGTACATCTTGAGATATAAGACTGAATATATTTTAACACAGCCTCAAAATAAAAATTACCTTCAAAGCTACAACACTGAAGAGAAGCTAAGTGCATGTTATGGCAAGTATGCAGCCATTTATTATTATAATAATAATAATGATAATAAATAAAACGTGCACCAGCATCACAGGGTGGTGGTTTTTTCCTTTTCTTAATTTAAAAAAAAAAAAAAAAGAGTGAAAAGTACTACCACAGTAGAGCATTTTGATGACTGTTGAAACTAAACCTCCTGAATGTATTCGTTGCCACTATAACATGTAAGGTAGCTGAAAGAACTAATTCAGAATTTGTTGCTTGTCCTACAAGCTTTTTTTCTCCAAGAGAGGCAGAATAGGATCAAACTGTTCAGCACAAGAAAGCTCTGGTTCTCTGGACATCAGAATTTACACATCAGTAACAGGCAATTCTGTAATGTGTAACTGAAAGACAGAAAACAACCAAGAGCTAACAAACTAAGTAGTTAGTGCCAGAGCTGAGAAGGGAAATACAAATAACCAATTACTCTGCACTACTCCTAGGAAGACTAAATATCATGAACAACTGGAGCTTCTTTGACACCAGTGATTTGTACATTTGCTTCCCAGGCAGACTAAAAAGGTGCCTACGGCTCCCAAACATTTCCCTCGCTTCCAGGCAGTGAACAGTTACATTCACAACCAAGGGGCTGAATAATTCAGGTTCTTTCTGAAAACCCAAAGCAGCCAAAAAACAGTCAGTGGAAGAAGGGATGCACATGCACGTGGCACAAGCACACACTGCAAAAAATCAGAGGCTAATGAGAGTGTCAGAGAGCAGGGGAACACAGAGCACAGAGCATCCCCGGGAGCAAACAGTGCAAGCGTCGTCTTCCCAATGATACAAAGCAATGTACAAAACTAATGTCTTGCCTCCTGAGTTAGCAACTAAGGCAATGACATGTATTTCTATATCCTATTATTTTGTGAACTCAAACGATGCATTCAGCCTCAAGAAAAAAGGTCTGAAAGGTAGGAGAAGGGAAGGAAAAGAACAAATCACTATTTGGCACTAAGGGAGTCTTGTCTTTAGACAACACCTTCATGGAGCCAATCCTGAAATCTTTGTTCATTTGTTCCAAAGAGATCCTTAAACACAACAGGGATTACCAGGCTCCTCAAAAAAGAAACAAATAGTATCCTAGCATCCTGATGACCCCTTTTTTTTTTTTTTTAATTGCAGATGGAAAGCTTAAGATTGCAAATGCAAATGAATTTGAGATATTTTGGGTTTTCACAAGTTTTTCAGCCAGCAGGACTGGCAGAAAGCCATTAAAGAACTTGACTTTTTCTCAGCCCCTCCCCTGCATC